TTTTCCCTCTCCTTCGTAAACAGGCAACTGGCGCACCGATTTAGGTGGAGAAACAGAGCTGAGAGAAGCAGCAAGAGAAATGGAAGAGAGAGAGGAAGAGGGAAGAGGAAGAGGAGAAGAATGGAAGAAAAGAAGAGAAGAAGAAGAGTGGGGAGGAGAGGATGAGAGAAGTAGGGAGGAGTGATAGAAAGGTAGGATGGGAGAAGGAGAGAGTGAGAGGAATAGGGAAGCAGCGGATATAGGTAGGAGATGAGAGAGAAGCGTGAGAATAGTAGAATAATAGAGAATAGAGAGTATAGAGAGTAAGTAGGAAAGAAAATAGTGAGAATAGAAAGAATAATGAGAATAGAGAGAATAGTGAGCACAGAAAGAATCATGAGAAGAGAGAATAGTGAAGAATAGAGAACAGAGAGAACAGAAAGAAAGAAATGAGAACAGAGAGAATAGAGATAGAGGGATAGGGGGTGGCGTAAAGTTGTCGTAATGCCTGTGGTGATCGGCGGGCCAGCGTTCCGCCCCGACGTGCACGCGAAGCCAGGACGGGGCCACGCGACTCCCCGATCCGCCCGCCCACGCCCGCGCCGCTCTTTTTCTCTCTCTTTCTTCCTTTTCTTTTCTTTTTCTTCTTTTTTTTCTTTTCTCTTGGTTCGTTCTTTGGATTATCGTTCTTTTTCTTTTTTCTTTCTCTTTCTGTCTTTCTCTAATCCTTTTTCTGTCTCTCTTGTTCTTTCTTTGTTTCTCGTTTTCTTCTTCTTTTTTTTCTCTCCTCTCTTCTCTCTCTCTCTCTGTCTTTCTTTCTTCTCTCTCCCCTTCCTCTCCTCCCTCCTCCCCCCCCTTCCCCCCCAACCTCCCAAATTTCTCTTCCTACCCAAACCACGCTATGAGCACTACATTTTCCGCCGCCTGCATATTAACGACACATCATATTCGCAACGTAATCGACCCTGGCACGCACATGACACCCCCCCCCTCCCCTGCAGTCCTTGAAAGATAGATTTTGTGTGTGAGTGTGAGTGTGTGTGTGTGTGTGTTGTGTGTGTGTGTGTGTGTGTGTGTGTGTGTGTGTGTGTGTGTGTGTGTGTGTGTGTGTGTGTGTGTGTGTGTGTGTGTGTGTGTGTGTTGTGTGTGTTGGTGTGTGTGTGTGTGTATACGTAACGACGTAGTGTGTGCGTGCGTGGGTAAACAGGTAAGTAGTTAGATAAGTAGTTGGTATTTAAGCAGACAGATAATATGGGCGGCTTTCCATGGGTGGGCGTGGGTGGGCGCTCGAGTGGGAGGCGGGCGGTGGCACTTAGCGACCAGCAGCTTGAACGTGGTGCACAAATCACTCTTTGGGGTAAAAAAGAAGGAAAAAAAACTAAAACTATATATATATATGTATCCATCCATTTTGTCGGAAACCAACCACGCGCCCAAGGTCTGTTGTTATCGCTGTCCTGACCACGCCCATCGCTACTGTGTCTGTTTGTTTGTCTGTCTTTGTGTATCTGTCTGCGTATCTCTCTTTTTTTACTATTTACAATGGAGAAAGAAAGAAAGATAGATGTCAAATATAAAAATGCATCACACACCCACAAAAATAAACAATAATATATTTAGAAAAAATACCGAAATAACAATTATTAAATAAAATATAAAACAATAACAACGAATAAATCAAAATAAACAATAAGAATAACAAATAAAATAACGAATCGATTTTAATAACATTATCTATAATGGTGACTGCTTCGATTCTCCGCTAAGACTCTTTTTTAACATTTAACAGTCAGATTGTTCAGTCCAGTCAAGTCAGCAGTCTGTCAGTCATCGCCGCTCTTAACCTGTATAGCGAGTGAGCGCGTCGACCTTAATAATTTTCATTTTTATCATTTTGACTTTTTTTTGATGACCTTAAAACTATTTCGTCGACAAAGCGTCCTTAAGCTGGTCTTACCTGGCCGGTTTGGGGGTGGGGGTAATGGGGTGAGGGGGGAGGGAGGGAGTTAGAAAAAGAGAAAAAGAGAAGAGAAAGAAAAGAGATAAGTATAATATATATAATATATATATATATATATATATATATATATAGAGAGAGAGAGAGAGAGAGAGAGAGAGAGAGAGAGGGATAGATGGATAGATGAAAGATAGAGAACGAGTGAAAGGAAGAGATAGAGGAGTGAGGTGAATGGGAGGATGCAGTAGGATGCCAAACGTATATAAAGACGAGAAGAGAAATGGAAAAGAAGAGAGGCTAAAGGGGCAATTATAAGAGAGAGAGAGAGAGAGAGAGAGAGAGAGAGAAGAGAGAGAGAGAGAGAGAGAGAGAGAGAGAGAGAGAGAGAGAGAGAGAGAGAGAGAGAGAGAGAGAAGAGAAGAGAGAGAGAGGAGAAGAGAGAGAGAGAGAAAAAAGAGAAATCGCGGAGGTCATACTATCCGAAAAAAGTGGAGGCAAAGCAAGGTCACAATCTTCATATATCCCCCCGTTGTTTATGGGTCTCCGTGATAAGCGACAGCGCAAGCACGACCTGTGAAGGATGCCTTGCCCTTCGCTCCGACCTTCTCTCGCAACACCGACTGCCACAACGGCTGACCTATTTCCACCTGACACATGCAGAGCAACTATCAGTATTAACCAAGCAACAATCATCAACGGAAAATCGTCAACAATTTTCGAATCATGACGATTATCAACAATCATCAACATTCATCAATGAGAACTTGATTATCGGACTGGAGATGAATTTCTCTTCCTTCCACGTGGACAATAGTTTTGAAAAAGTATATGTAACAAGCACAAGGGAATAAATCAACAAAAAATAAGGTACACAACAAACAAAAAGCCTACCAAACGCACATGCATACACACAAAATAATAACAATAAATAAAACAAAAATAAAATATAAAAAATAATAAAAACAAATAAAATAAAAAATACAAATAAAAAACAACTATTCCGTTCGAACGCATTGACACATCTCAAACCAGCCTTTAAACACAGCAAACAACCGTCGATACCACAACCCTATTACACAGCACAGAAAAAACATACAAACTTGCAAACCGCAGAAAAGTGTTAACCATCTATGTTGTTTGTGTCTACAGGACCATGACTTGCTTGGAATATCGACAAAGACGGCTGATAGCATCTCCACAGAATTCTTAGGACAACAAAGAACGTGTAGGCTCGTTGGACCTCCCCGTTTTAGTCTTTGTGTTACTACCACTTCTGTTATTATCTGTTATTCCGGTCATTACAATTATTACTGTTACTTGCTAACATTGTATCATCATTATCACCATCCTTTTCACTGTTAGTATCATAGTTATTATCCTCACCGATATCATTATCTTTATCACCACTAATTATTACCACCGTTATTATCATCTTATCATCACTACTACTCACTCCCTACCCCCAAAAAATATATCCACTGACCATTTCATTTCATTTCATTTCATTCTCTCTCTCTCTCTCTCTCTCTCTCTCTCTCTCTCTCTCTCTCCTCTCTCTCTCTCTCTCTCTCTCTCTCTCTCTCTCTCTCTCTCTCCTCTCTCTCTCTCTCTCTCTCTCTCTCTCTCTCTCTCTCTCCTCTCTCTCTCTATCCTTCTTCCCAAAATTGCAACGACTTCGAACTACCAACGGAAAATCGTTCCTCAGCAACGTTGCAAACAATACAAATAAAGTAAATAATCAAAATAATAATCAAAATAACAACAACAACAACAACAATAAAAATAACGCGTGCAAGTGACCTCCAAAGCCCTGAGGCCTTTGCAAAGAGAGGCTGCTCTGACTGCACGACAGGGCGGCGGCGGCGGCGGGAGGAAGGCGCTGCGGTCTGAGCGAAGGCAGAGGAGGAAGGGGAGGAGGAAGATGAAGAACATAAAGCTGATGAGGAAGAAAATAATGATGATAATAATAATGATAAATATAACAATAATAAAATAATAACGATAATAATAATCATAATAACAATAATAATAAAAACAACAATAAAGGAAGCAGATGAAAATTAATAATAGGAAGAAGAGGAAGAAGAGAGAGAGAGCATGAGGAAGAATGAAAAAAAGAAAACATGACCAAAAAACGAACAAACAAGCAAGGAAGGAAGGAAGGAAGCGAGAACACGAACGAACCCCCCTCTCACCCCCACCCCCACCCCCCAAAAAAAAAAAAACGAAAGAAAAAGAAAGAAAAAGAAAAGAGGGGCTGCTCTCGCGTTCCGCCGTGCCCCGCCAAGGACCCATGCATGCGTACATCCGGGACTCTTCTCACGCCAGGGGCCTTGAGGGGAGAGCCCGATTATCACGTCGCTTGATCTCGGAAGTGTGTCATGCAAGGACGACGACCCCCCCCCTGTCGCTGCATCGCGTGGCCGTCGCCGAATTCGCACGCGCCGACACCCGAAGCCGAAGTCGAAGCCGTCCATGGTGTTTCCCGCTACGGTTCACAATTCCCGCGTTTTTTTTTTTTCGTTCTCGATTTTTTTTTCGCTGGAGTGAATAAAATAAGTATATATATATTTTTTTAATGATAATTTTTCTCCCTCTTTTTTCTATCAACAACTACTGTTCATTTTTTCCCTCTTCTTTCTTTCTTTCCATCTCTTCCAAATCTCTTCGTTCTGAGAATTATTAGACACGAAATTCCGAAAAGGTGCAGACATGTTCTTGTGCTCTAGTTGTAAAACTTTTTTTTTCTATTTTCACTGACACTCGTTCATTAGGCTCATGACGGCCATGCAGACACGGGGCAAGAAGGTCACGTGATCACTTCGGCTGAGAAAGGGAAACGAAAAATGGTCGGGGAGGAGATCGGAAAGTCGGGGGGAAAACAGGAAAATAAAAGGGAATGGCATGAAAAATAATCACAGCTGAAAAAATAACTACATGTACGGGAGAAAAAACGCGGCAAAATTATTAAGGCAAAAAGCACCAAAAAGCCCCGAACGCACGCCCACGAAATGTTCGGAAGGGCGCGCGACCTGCCCCGGCGAGGGCCTCGTCCGCCGCTTACCATTGGCGGTGATATAATTGGAGGTGAAATGCAGGTTGTGGTGCAGGTTGTGGTGGAGGTGCTGGTCCCAGATCGGCACGGCGGCCAGGTCCTCCATGCCGAGGTGCTCTCCGGGGTGGTGGTGGCCCAGCATCCCCTGAGACATGCTCCCGGGGCGCGCCGCTCCTGCGCCCGCCCGCCCGCGTCTCCTGCTCCGGCCTCCGTCCCTTCGCCGAGGACCTCCGCTGCTCCTCCGCTGCTTCCTTACGTGCGAGGCCGTCCGGCGCGGCTACGACTGGGGCATGGGCGTTCGGCGCCGTCAGTCTAGGCGGCGGGAGGTTCGTGGGCGGCCTGGAGTGGGCGTCGTGGCGGTGTTTGCGGGCGTGAAGGCGGGGGTAGCGTGGCGGCGGTGGAGGGGAGGGTCGTAGGAGCGGAGAGGGTCGTTAGTGTGAAGCGGGTGACCACGTGGTCCCACCATCACTCAAGGTGTCACGCTCACCTGCACGCGCTCGATAGCCGCACCGCCCGCGCCGCTCGACCACCCGCTACTTGGACGACCGCAGCTCCGGCGGCGCGCTCGCTCATAGTCCCCTCGGAGCTCGGCCTCATTCGCTCGCCATCGCGGCCGCGCCTCTCGGGGACACGCGAGCACACTGCGCCGTCAGCGCCCCTGGGGGCTCGCACTCGCACTCAACGGCGGCGAACGACGAGGCTCCTCCGCGAAGGGCGCAGCCCGACTCTCTCCGACGGGCCGAGGGCGTCGTCACCTCCCGCCCATGCCAGAGCTGCCGCCTCACGACCACCCGGAGGGCTGCCCGCGCCTCGAGAGGTCGTCCTTGTCTGCGTGAGTGTCTCCTTGCGAGGGGGAGGAGAGGAGGCGGAGAGAGAGACGTCGGCGAGGGGCGGCCGGGGTGAGGGGCGTCCTGCGGCCACACTCGGGGGCGAAGCAGAAGCGGCGGAGGGAGGGCCGGCGAGGGGGCCGAGGGCGGCGACGAGCGACAGCGGAGCCTCGGGAACAGCAGTAGCAGAAGGCAGCGCCTGCGGGCCCGAGGGAGGGACAAGGGTGACAGCAGTGAGCGAGGAGTGTGTCCGTCGGTGTCCGCGGATGTCCACACACTGAGGGGAGTAAAGTAAGCCTCCCAGAGTCCCCTCTCTCACTCGCTGGCTCTCCCGCCATCCCGACCAACCCGCCGCCATCTCTCCCCTCCGGCCCCGCCCCCTCGGGCTCCCCTCGGCTCCCCTCGCGCTCTCTCCGCCGCCGCCGCCGCCACGGACACTTCCCTCTCATGGCCGTCTAAAGCACTCAAGAAGGGGCACCTAAGGAACTTACGCGGGATCCTTGGGAGGACTCTGGCTCTCCTGCTGGCGGGGAAGGCGGCCAGGAGGCGAGGGCGAGCCGTCGGAGGCGCTCCTGCGGCGAGCCGAGTCTTCCTGCAAGGGCTCAGCCCGCCGCGCGTGCCCTTCTTGCCCGGGGCGCCGCCGCCTCCGCGCAGGACGACCCCGCGCCGCCAGCGAGGGCCGTAGCGCTCGTGCCCTTCTGGCCCGCACGCCCTCCATTATCTGCCAACACCTGTCCTGCTCCCGAATATTCCCACGTTACACTGCGTCGCGCGTTATCCCTGCTGAGGGGCCGCCGTCGATACCTCGCCGGGCGACCACGCTGGAGAGCCCGGGCCCCGCCGCGAGCGTCTTCACGTCACCACACCTAATCATTTATTTATAGATTTTCCAAGAATTTTCACCGAGAGAATGAAGCTGACTGGCAGAGTGTAATGAGTTGTAGGATGTAAACACGGCCGGCGAGCGAGGCCAGAGACCGCGCAGCCGAGGTTAGGTCGCCGACGAGCACACAAGGTGGCTCCCAATCACTACGCTGATCGCACACACGCTTTCCTGACTTCCCTCGCGGCACACACGCACGCACACACGCACATGCACACACAGACTTAAGACTAAATTGTAGGTTCTTGAGATATGGTGACCAGAGTATAAATATGTGTACACACTTACACACACACACACACACCTATGAAAACAATACACAATCGTAAACACAAGACATAACCAAGGATTTTTACCCTACAATCCAAAACATAAACACTTGAAAAGGCGCCTACCTGTCAAGGAAGGAATTACAACCAAAGCCTACACGAAATATATAAAAAAAACGAGCAAACAAACACACAAACCTATAAATAAACCAATAATAAACGCGTAAAAAAACGAACGAACATACAAAAATCAACCAATAATAAATACGTAGAAAAAATATATAAATAAACCAATAATAACCACGAAAAAAACGAACGAACAAACAAACTAACTAAAATAAACCAATAATAAACACGTAAAAAAATCATCAATCGGCCAGCTGTAATCAACAACAACAAAAACACTCGCGCGAATCCATACTAGTGATTAAGAGTGACCTAGCCATCAAAGTCTCTTTTATCAACCACCCCCACCCCCACCCGCCCACCCACACCCCTACCCCTACCACCCATACCCCCAAAACCCTTACAACTCTCACCCCCCCACCCACCCTCACTCCCCCTCCCCCTCCGCCCAATTCATTCTTACCGTATGTTATCCCTCACTTTACACCCTCCCTCCCTCCCTCCCCTCCCTACGCTCCCCCCACCCCTCACCCCTATCTCCCCGCCCCTCCTCCACCCACCTGGACGCCCCAATCAATATTTGCACCCCGTTAAACCGCCCGTGACACAGCGCTTGTTGGGTCGTCTTCTGCGGTCCGCGACAATGGGACCGGAGTCACTGGGCGGGTTTGCGGGCGTGGGTGGGCTTGTATGGGCGGGCTACGGGCTACAGGACTTGGGTGGGCGTGGGTGGGCTTGTATGGGCGGGCTACAGGACTTGGCGGGGGTTTTGTATGGGCGAGCCATAGAACTTCGGTGAGGGCGGGCTATCGGGCCTGGGTGGGCTAAAATGTGGGGAAGGCAGACAAGCAGACAAGCTTGGGTGGGTTGGCGGGTGGGTTGGCTTGTGTGGGCAGGCTCGAAGTTTGGGTGGGTTGGCGAGTGGGTTGGGTGGAATGGTTGGGTGGATAGGCTCGAGGATTGGGTGGGTTTGGCGCGTGGCTTGCGTGGTTGGTGAGTGGGTGGGTCTGGCGAGTGGGTGGGTCTGGTGAGTGGGGTGGGTCTGGCGAGTGGGCTGGGTGGGTTGGGTGGGTTTCGGGGCCAGAGAAAAACGTCATGCGAATGTGACCGCTTTGTCAACACCTCGGAACAATTTTTCATTTGTTTAGGATTAAGTTCTTTTACTTTCAGAACGGGGACAGAGATCGATGGGTGGATGGAGGAAGGGAGGGAAGAGAAGGAGAGGAAGGGAGGGAAGAGGAAGGAAGAGGGAAGGAAGAGGGGAGGAGGGAGGGAGGGAGGGAGGAGAGGGGAGGGAGGGAGAGAGAGAGAGAGAGGAGAGAGAGAGAGAGAGAGAGAGAGAGAGAGAGAGAGAGAGAGAGAGAGAGAGAGAGAGAGAGAGGAGAGAGAGAGAGGAGAGAGAGAGAAGTATCCTAATTAACTCACCTTCTCCTAAGGAAGGTGGACGAGGACGGTAAGAAGATAAGACAAGAATGAAGAGGAGAAGGCCAATAAAGATAAGGAAGAAGAAGAAGAAGAAAAGGAGAAAGTGAAGGGCGATCAAGAAAAAAAGGAGAAAGACAAATGGAAGACAAGGGGGAGAAGAAGAGAAGAAAAAGAAGAAGAAGAAGAAAGCAGAAAGAGGATAAAGAGGCATCGCCGGAAGTATCACGAGCACAAAGCAAGGGGGAAGGGGGGAGGGGGGGGAAAAGAGAGCCAACAACCAGCGCAAACACGTGGCATTGTGGGCCCGCGTTCAGCCCGAGAGCCGACACGTGCCAGGCCGCATCCCGCACGTGCCCTCCCACTACTGCACCCCCACCCCCTTCCCCTTACTAACCCCCACACCTCTCCTCCGATCGCACACACGCTCGCACGCACGCACACGCAAACATATGCTTCTCCCGCTCCCTTCGTTAAATACCGTTATTGAGAACCTCCCCTCCCCCCCTCCCTCCCCCTCCCCCTCCCCCTCCTCCTTCTCTCCCTCCATTATCTCCATCTGCTAATCCCGTACCCTAAACAAAATTAACGCGTTTTTCTCGTCATCTATCATAAAAATTACACGCACTTTTAAATACCCTTAGCGGGTTTTTTTATTCCCTTTTATTTATCCATTATTACTTTTTTGGCCCTTCTTTTACGCACTCCATGTTCAAACATTCTAGTACATTTTTCAATGTCTAAAGAAAGAAAAAAAAATACGGAACAATAAAAAAACAAGTAAAACGAAAAAAACGAAAAAAAAACGAAAAAACAAACAAAAATGCCACCACGCACGCAAAACAAACAAACAAACCACAACCCCCCCACGACCACCAACACCAAACAACAACCAAGCCCAAGCAACAACGCACACAAACAAATAAATACAAAAAACATACACAGACACACCCCATTAAAACCCAAGATACAGACTCCAAGACTATGAAAGATTCTCGTAATTACTGGGAAAACCTCACGCACACGTACACGCACCCGCACACGCACACACACACACGAACACACGCATACCGACCGTCGCGTGCATTTTCTTTTTTTCTTTTTTCTTTGTGTTATTGATGGCGATCGAGAAGTGCCTCGTAGAGAGAAAGGGCATGTTCAAAGAGAGGTTGATACGGGCGGTGGGGGTGAGAGGGTGAGAGGAGAGGAGGGGAGGGAGAGGAGATAGGGGGAAAGGATGAAGAGGAAGAGGAAGGAGAAGGGAGGAGGGGGAAGGAGGGAGAGGACGAGGAGGAGGGAAAGGAGGGAGTGGAGGAGGAAGAGGAGGGAGGGGGGGGAGAAGAACGGTGTAGGGAAAATGATATAGGCGGTGGACGATGAAGGAAACGAGGAAGAAGACAAAGAGGGAAAAAGAAAGAGAAAAAAGACAGAAGACGAGGAAGAAAAAAAAATAACAAAAAAAACGAAAAACCAATAACCAAAGAAAAAAATAAAGCGAAAACCTAAAAAACGAATAAAAATGACGCCAAGCAGAAACAAAGAGGAACAAAGATCAAGTACCGGCGCAGGAAAGAGAAGGAAGACACTGATGCTGAGGAGCGAGAGAGGAGGAGAGGAGGAGCGAGGAGTGAGGAGGAGTGAGGGAGGAGGAGGCGGGTCAATTATCTCGAAAGAAGTCGGCATATCCACGCGTGCTGACCCAAGTTAATGGTGGAAATGGAGACTGACCCTCCGCCGCTACTCCTCCACTTTCTTTTCTTCTACTTTTTCTACTTCTTTTTCTTCTACTTT